AGTCAGTCAGCCAGTCAGTCAGTCAGTCAGCCAGCCAGCCAGCCAGCCAGCCAGTCAGTCAGTCAGTCAGTCAGTCAGTCAGTCCGTCCGTCCATCCATCCATCCATCAATCAAACAGTCAGTCGGACGGTCAGTCATTCACTCACTCAATTAATTCACTCAATCTCTCGTTCAGTGAAAAAAAGGACAACTGGATAGGACAAGCATATGCAAAAGCTATGCCTGTAAAATTGCGTTTAACTTTGACTTTTTGATACTTCAATAAGACACACGAACTAAGGAATTTGACAACAAAATTGCTAAAAGCATGCTCTCTATGTGCAGCACTTCGGCCTTCTGCAACATTTTCCAAATATGACCTTTATCTCCTGCTTAAAATTACTGTTGAAATAAAAGTAAACAGACGGATTTACTGCACTGTAAGCGTTTGACAACCAAACTATAAACTTAAGTGCAGGGTACGGCAAACTAATCTTATGCAAGCAATATAAACCAACAAAAGCATGAAATGGACACCAACACAAAACAAACAAAACCACAACAGCAGTCATCATCTGGGAAACTTTTTTAGCTGTCTTCATCACTTCTATTTGTCTTTGGTCGCGATTGGTTCCTTCCCCTGGTGGATCACGTGACCATAAACGGACACTCACGATTGAATATAGCACAGTCATGGCCAGAAGAGGTACAAGAAAGTTAAGAAGCAGTAAACACAGTGCCGTTACGTTCCATGCATTCATCGCAACGTGTGAATAATCAATGAGGCAGATAAAATGTCCTTCGAGGAACACTATTTTTGCCATAATTTTCATTCCAGCCGCTGACCCAATCGCCCAGATCCACAATCCCACAATAACAAGCCGGATATGAAGTGATATCGGAGAAGACTGCAAGGGCCGAGTTACCCCAAAATATCGGTCAATGGCAATTGCTGTCAGGGTCGATACGGAACAAAACGTTGGCAGAAAAAACACCCACACTGCGAACTTACAAGTCACCAGGCCTTCCTTTCCACCAAACCACTCTCTGTGAAATAGGGAATCACTAAACATGGCGGGCATGCTTGTCAGCGTTGCAATCAAGTCTGCACAAGCTTGATTGAGTATGAGATGACTGGTTGCTGTCTTCAAGAATTGTCTTGTACGTATGATGTGAATGAGCACAGAGTTGCTTGCCAATGACGTCAATATGAGAAGGATATAGGCTATGCATAGAGCGGGTAATGCAACAGTAATCATTGACGCTAACGTTAATAGACGAATAGTGTGTTTCCCTAGAATTGATATAGGGATGTTAGTTTTTAGCAACATGGGCGTTTGGGGTGTAAATCATATTTGGTTGCGTTTCAAGACAAACTCCTTAGGCCTGTAAGTCAGTTATAGAATTAATCCCTTAGAGCAGGTTTCAATTGAGTGCCGTAAAACCAAAACCAAACCAATTACTTACTAATTAAACTACTCCGTCAATCTCAAACCTTATTAAAACCAAAACCAAAACCAAAACCAATGTAATTGCCTGATTACTTTCGACGCTCGATTGAAAATCGCTTTATGTGGGCAACAGCAACACGTATTTTACGTGGGACTCCAAGGTGGGACTCAAACGTGGAAAACCATTTGTTCCGCATTATTTTTCAGATTAATTTTGGATATGGTATCTTGTACTCTCGCAGATAATGTTACTTCCTTCGTAGCCGGGCTGTTTTTAAAAGCCACTTATCTTAAGACCCTTCTGGGGTTTCGGAAGCCAGGAGTAGTTTAAAAATAATTTGAAGGAGAACAATTAAAAATAAGGCCTGTATTCACTCTTAATTTTCATCATCCCTCCCAAATGTGACCAATTCAAAATATTTTCCTATTTTCCTTTTCGTCAATGTGAGAGGTAGCTTTAAATAATACCATAATTTTACAAGTTGTCAATGAAGTTGGTGGGAGTCTCCATAATTCATGAAACGTGACAAAGAAAAGATATCAAACAAAACTTGAAGTAACATATCTTTCTTAGAACATAACAGAAATAGTTACGTAGCTCCTGTTATAAGGCTAAGGATCCAAAATAGCTCAGAGGCGCGGCTAATGGAGAAATCTGAAATTGAATTTAACACATTTTTTCAAGTTCCAACCCTTTGCTTCATAGCTACCAGCAAGGGGCAACTTGATAATAACATTGAATGACGGAACATTCGTAGTTTTCATGCTAATCGATGTATAATTTCGATGATTTGTTTATTCAAGTTCTTTTTCCTTATCCTGCTTTGTTTTTCATCCCTTCTAAGGGGAGACAAGATCCTCATTGACTAAACTCAGATCATAGGAGCGGGTAAATACGGCGGGCAAAAAGGCAAGGACAAATAGCCGTCAAGTAACTAAAAGCCATATTCAGCACCATGTGATCGGTGAAGGATCTTGAGGTTTCCATGGCAACCATATTATGACAAACTTTTGCAAATTTTGAATTTAAGTTTCTGTTTTTAATGAAAATGCTTTCACTTCTTATAGTAACTCTTACATGCTTGCTTATTTGAGCTTTCTTTATCGGTTTTGATCATTTTTGAGCAATTGTCGGAGGTATTCCAACTTTTTGTAACAATCGTAAAGCCCTAAATGAATCTAAGCTGGCGGATTCAAGATAGCGGCTGTTCGGAATGGTGGCGTCATTTCTATCGAAGCTGTCAGGGAATATGTCTACCGCATCTTGATTAAATACAGCCGCACTCTTGAAATGTGGACAAACGTTTCTGAGAAATTAAGTGGACTTCAGAAGAAAAGCAGCAATGTTGTCCTTGAGCTACATTGGCTTACGATTGTCTTTTATTGATGCTAGTTTTATTTCCGACTGGTTGTTTTTTCCCCTGCTAAAACGATTAGCTTCACCGACATCTTTGCAAGTAAGTACTGACAGCTACCAGGCATAAATTTTAGAAAAAAATTAAAACCTGGATGATTTTCTTTCTTGAATACATGGGATTTGGCCATACAGCCGGCAGTAACTATCTTTAAAGTTGCTGAAACATATATATATTTTTTCACAGTAATAAAATGACCTTAACTGATCGATTATGTCTATACGCTAGTCAGGACAAAAACTGAGCGTTCCAGGAAATCTCTGAGTTTTCGCCTGCAAGTGTAAAAGTTTTTTACACTCAGATGATCATGAAGTCCCCAATATTTTGTATTTCCACAGTTTTAGCCATTGTGTTACGCGTTATCATAACTAAGAGATTCAGATAGGCTCAGTTTCCACCCAAGGCTGGAAACTGAGCGAAACATCCAGACAGTGTTGTTACTAAATCGATGCGAATTTTCTTGTAAGCGCGAGATAAAAACCTTTACAAAGCACCAAATACAATGAATCGCTTTTGCTTTGCGTTGACGAAATCTTAGGCTCGGATCTGAATAAAAAAGCGTAAGTCTTGGACACAGACTTTTAGTCATTGATGTCTCCGCGTGTTTGACCAGCCTAGAGAGTCAAAGAGTTACCCGGCTACGCTACTCAGCTCTTGGTTATAAAATAACTGCATTTTCCACCTTACAAACTCAGATGAACTCACCTTGGTCCTTACTTCAACAATTGGCCACTTGCCTGATTCTGAAAAGCTTACACCTTGTTCTAACAACAAGTATCAGAAAGAGTCCCCCCCTCATGTCTGTGATCTTGCTTTACATTGTTTCAACTAACACATCTCGAGCAGCATTTTGCTCTTTAAGGTTGAAGACTAACCTTTATTTATGTCGCCTTGGTTTTATGTCATACGGCTTACAAAAAATTTACTTAAGCTCAAGATTCTTTCGGAAATGAATTCAGTGAACCTATTACTCTAATTTGCTTGTGTAAATAATTTAAAAGGAAGTTTTTGTCTCCAGGAGATTTAATTCTAGCTAGGAAATAAAAAAATGTTCCATTAGGCTTAATAATATGCGATTTCATGAAGCGAAAAAGCGTCTAAGAATTTCAGGCAATATTTTGCACGAAATTGACTAATTTGGATTTTTCAAACCATGACGGTTGCGGATGGTACTGGCTCGAAATCTTTGATTCTAATTCTACTTGTAAATCAATTGACTGAGCACACATTGCGTCACAAGATTAGCTGCCATCAAGTGTTACGGCGTCTTTACATGGTCATGTGGATTGCCTTATTTATTATTATTATTATTATTATTATTATTATTCAGTGTATTTTTTGACCCACCTTACATTTTCAACGTCGCAAGAAATTCAGTTAAAAGTTGGTTAAAATATTTAGCCAGGGCCTTCAATCAAAAGTTATGTTTCGTGTGGGTTAATTTGCTCTTAGACAAACACCTGCTGTTCTGGCAACAGAGCTTAAATTCCCAATATAAATAAACCAGATAAAAAGACCTAAGCATGATTTTTCTGTACTTAAATCTCAACCGAAAAGCGGCCTTCTATGAAGGTTGTCTAGAGCACTTTGCTTTCTTTTCGGCATCTGGCTGATGTTGTAAATTGATTGTTTGACAATACCGGAATGAAGCATTTCCAAGTGCCATGGCTACTTTAAGGACATTTGCAACTTTCTATCTTAACTCCCCAGGCAAAAAAAAAAAAAAACATAACAATTTACAAAACTCAAAACTCAATTCACCCCCTCTTTCCTTCTTCTTCACTTCACTAAGTCACCCAATACCTGCTGACACAGGTGAGAAGTTTGTTTGCATTTGGGACTTCTCGTCATGTCCCAGATGGATGGAAGAAAACGACATCCGTCATCCCTTCATCTTAAGCCTCCGTTTGCAGAGTAGCTTGTTGTCCTACTGTACAACTTGTAAATTTTGTTGGTTAATGACAGCAGTGGCAAATATGTGTCGAGAAATTTTGATATTGAACTTGTTTTTCCTGTGGCGTCCACTTAGGCAACACATCTTGTATATTTTTAGCTACTCCAACTTTAGATGCGAATATCTAGACAACTAATCAGAATATCGCAAAAGCCTGATTTGCGTTTGTTGATTGATACCTTGTTAATAAGACTGTGCAGTCATTTTGCTCGTATTACAGCATCTGATAACCGACAAATTCACTAGAAGAACCATCGTTCGTTTCACCCCTTACCGGCTCCTGAAGTTCTTAAAATAAAACCTCGCTTTAATTGTATGTTTATCGTAAACTTCATTTATTAAGCTTTCTTCTGATACATAGTTTGTTAGGGCTGTATTGAAACTGGCGCTTATACGAGTTTTTTTCCCCGAAGGACACCCATCAGAACACTGTATCAGAAATAACGTAATCATTTACATTCATGTAAAATAAATGTACTGTTATTTACCTGTGTTCCTGGGTCGTTTTGAGCCGTTTCGAAGTGATTTGAACAGAAACGAAGGTAGGCTGCGTAGCATGGCATGCGTTCCCGTACGAAGAGCTTTTCCACATTCTGACCGCGCGTAAATTGGAGCGAGGGCAAAAAAAACTAACCACCCCCTGCTTCGTCGATTTTTTTTGCTTTCGCTCAATTTACGCACGGTTAGACTGCGGTAAATAACAGTACATTTATTTCACATGAATTTAAATGATTACGTTATTTTTGATACAGTGTTCTGCTACCCCTTGGTTAAGATTACTTTCCACCCTCGTGGGTGTCCTACAATAGACCAATTTCGATATATTAAAATTCAGCCTGAACCAATATACCTCAGCACGAGGCTCTGGGGAATAAAGCCCACAAACTCTGTATTTATTCCCCAGAACCTCGTCCTGACGTCTATTGTTTTAGGCTGAATTTTAATATATCGAAATTGGTCTATTGATATCAAAGTTTTACTTAAGGAGCAATTTATTCAGTTGTATGCAAATTGATTAAGCACTTACTCTATTTAAGGCGGTCTTAAACTTTCAGATATAAATTTTTCTCCATGAAACAATTTTTCGAAATTCAACATCTCTGACCGCTTCTCTAGTTACTCCTTGATTTACGTTTAAATTAATAGATCTTGCTATATTTTAACATAGCAACGCCTGTAGCAACGGTTATTTGTTTTATAAAACATGTACATCTATTTTTAAGATGTTAGACCAACATAAGGTGGCTCAAAACAGTTTCCAGCACTTTCCAAGACTTAGATTTTGATGAGACATGATGAGACAAAGTGTCTCAATTTTAACTGGGCCGTTTTCGTCTCATGGAAGGGAATTATCTTGGCATATCTGGGAGAGTGACTGCTGGAGAAAAGTTATTTAAGCTCCTCTCATAATGTCCAAGAATCTGTTAAACAGCTCATTTGCATCCAAACAGACATTATCGAGTCAGAAGCAGTGGCGCTAGCAAATAACAGGCAATTAGCATATTACACAAAATATTTAACCCTTCGAAGATTTTTTTTTACTTGTTAGCCTAGCTTTTGATCGAAGTACACAAAAATGTACCAGAAGCGTAGATTTCTAAGTTATTTAACGGATAGTTTGACCGCGCTATGAAAAAAGAAGAAATCGCTTGAAGCGATATCTTGTTATCAACAAGTTTCATGGTAGGTAATTGACAGGCGCTAGGCTTGTGTAATATAAGTGGTTAAATGATATTCAGGGATTTTTTACATTGCTTTTCACTTGTAAGTTAGTTATAGTGTGAAGTAAAAAGTACGCCAATAGTAACAACAGTGTTTATCTTTGATGCATAAGTCTGTTGTAAATATTGATACTATATCTCCTGAAAATACGAATATATTTAGAGTAAGAATTCTGAATTATCCCAACCAATGCACCGTTTGTATTTATACCAATCATAAGCTTTAAACACAACGCAATAACAACTGTCACTGACAGCGGGCCAGCATCACAACAATAGCAGTAAATATATGCAAAAAAAAAAAAAA